TGACTCATCCACATGGCTGACACTGACAAAGGTCCTACAATCTGAGGTACAGGATCTCAGGATAAATCCTGAGGGGATTTCACTGACCTTATCAGATCTAAAAGCTACAACTCTTTTTGCATAGGTCTTGCTTTATCTTGGTCTTAACCATCCAGCAGAAAGTATAAAAACAAAGTATATGAATTCATTATACTTTAAAAATGCATTTTAACCCTAGAGTGGTAGCCCAGGTGGAGGCAAAAATATCACAAATTCCAGACTTACCTGGGCTACACAGTAAGTTCAAGGCTGGAGTGGACCACATAGTGACACCCTGATTCAAACAAACAAAACAAATGTATTTTACTTACTCAAATTATTGTTTCAGATCAACTTTTAAAAAGATAAAAAGGTTACAGGGTAGGAGAAAGGGAGGAAGGATACGAGATTAAGTATTTTCATCATTTAAATGTTTTCGAGCTCCCGTTCTATACCAGACAATAGCTTAGGTACTGCTGATACAACAGTGAAAAGAAGTAAAGCTGGAAATCAAATTTTTGTGTGTGGGGCTAGGGAGATAGCTCAGTACAATAAGCACTTGCCTGGCAAGCACAAGGGCCCGAGTTCAATCCCTGGTTCCGCCAAAAAGAAAAAAAAAATTCTTGTGCGGCATAAAGACAGTGTACAAATTATTGTGCACTATGTTGTCAGATAGGAATAGGCACTCTGAAGAAAATGGGAACAAGGTAAGGGATGAAGAGACCATGGGTAATGATATGCTTGGAGAGATGACTGTTAAATTCTCAAAGGTATTCAACAATTTATTATTAAAATGTGTTTGAAATTAGCATGATAGGAATATTTATATTCCAGAAATTAGCAAGTGCTGCAGTAGTTCTATTGGTCTCTACTTATATCTGTTTCTTATTTATTTATTTTTTTTGCTCCGAATGCCCTCAGGGCAGGTTTGGCTGGCTCGAGTTGTGGGGATCGAACCACAGCAACCTGAGCCTGACAGCTTTGTTGAAGCAGCCATTTAAAAGAACTGAGCTACTGGGCAGGGCCCCTGTTTCTCCTTCAACGCCTCCCCCTTTTCTTTTTGCTCCTTCCTCTATATCCCACTGTTACTAAAAATACACCAGTTCATAAAGGCTGTTGAAAGGAAGACAACTATCCCTTTAAAACACTTTCTCTAGTAAAATGTTTGCTGTGGTAGTCCGTTTTTCATTACTACCATGGAATACTTGGACCCAGGTAATTTTATAAAGAAGAGAGGTTTCTGTAGCTTATAGTTGTGGAACTTCAGTGACCTACATTTGATAATGGATTTCTTGCTGAGTCCCAATACTACACAAGGCATTACGCAGAATCAGTTGAGCTTTTATTCCAACAAGCCTACAGAGACTGCCTCACCTTTCCTGAGAAAGTCTCAGGAAAATATACCCAATATGAGAAACTCTCATTCTTTTATTTGTAACCCAAAGATGTGAGAACAAAGGTGCAGGAGAAAAACATTTCTGTGGGAGTTTTAGTCAGAGGAAAGGGAAAGAACAGGATGGACTGTGGAGCAAGCTTATCTGAGCAAGATGAGCACAATGGCTGGAGAAAACAGCTCCAAAACAATTTTAGCCCTTGCACTGCAGGTCTCCTCTAATGACTGCATTCCAAAAGCCAAGTACTGTTGCACCACACTCCCTCCATCCTTGCACTCATTTTAACCCCTGCTCTGGCCAGTATCTCCCACAGGGCATCATATAGGAAATTAGGAACATGCACATGTCTCTTCTGGTCTCTCAGCCTCATCTTACAAGGCCATCAGCATTCTATCATAGGGGCTCCACTGTGGTATCTTATGTACACCTACTCACTTTTCAAAGGCCTCACCTATAATCACCAGGATCATGTGCAATTTCAGTTCTTTTAGTACCTCACTATAGGACGTAATTTCCCAGTCACAAATCCATAGAGGACACACAAAACCACATTCAAACCATCCCATTTGTACTCTGTAGCACAATTTAGACTTTGTAGAATAACCTTACATGGAGTCACATGTATTGAAAGGAGAGTAACAGAAGGACCAATCTTGAGAGTATCATGTTCACACTAAAATTTAATGTCTGATAGGAGTAGCCAGGTAGAGGGGGAACATACCCTGCTGGAGAGGAAAGCAGCATGGTAGAACTGCCTAAAATGAGAAGGAGGGCCGGCCAGATAGCTCAATGGACTAAAACGCCTGCTTAGGCAGGCGTAGCAACCAGGGTTTGATTCCTAGCGTGCTGTGCTGGCCTTGCCCCCCAGGATGTGCTGAGATGGTGACTGAGTCGGGATGTGGTGGCGCCCACTCGTAATCACAGTGCTTGAGAGGCTGAAAACAGGAGAGATCTCCAAGTCCAATCTGTGTAGCGGGACTCTGTAGACCTTGTACTAAATACAAAAATAAATAAAATGAGACAGAGAGAGCAAGGCCAACAGGAAAATGGAAGGAGAAGAGCCTGCTGAGACTGGCAGGGTCAGGTCATGGAAGGTTTTGCTCCCTGCCAGGCAGGTCTGCGATTTGCCCTATGGGAAGTGCAAAGACTTTAAATTAGTTTAAGCAAAAGAATGACTAAACATGGTGTGAAAGTCATATACATTCCACAGAAATGATACTCCATATTTTCACTGTTGATCTTCCCTAGGCTAGCCACACAGGAGCAACACTGTCTTGTGATGCAGGACAGCAACAGCCTGTTAAGCCACAAAGTCAGGATGGAAAATGACCAATACTCTACAGTGAACACTTGTACTAAGTGAACATTTGCTCCATGATACTTTTAGCTCGTGATGAGCCCACTGGCACACACCCCAATATAAGCTGAGGAGCATATGTATTCAGATTAGTGTTTATAAAAATCTCCTGGTTCCAGTGAGGAAAATTAGAATTAGAGGTTTTTTGGGGTTTTGTTTTTGTTTTTGTTTTTTATACCAGGAATTTAACTCAGGACCTTGCAGTTGCCAGATAGGTACTTATGCTGCTGAGCTATCTACCCAACACTAGTAAAGAATGAGAAAATAGTGAAGGGTGGATCTTTCTGCTTATGTTCTCCATGTTTCCTTGTAGTTGAGCAGGTTTTAATATCTGTGAACCAGCTTATCTGCTATGAAGAAATTTAATTTTCTTTCTCAGTAGCAATAGTAAAAACAACAAAGTATAGATTATCATTAGTAACGTGTATCACTGGCTATTTCTTTTTCATTCCCTCAAGGAAAGACTATGTTTCTAAGTGTGTTGACTACATTTTCAACATCTCCATAAAGGCAGTTTATGAGGAATTTTGTAGAGGATTTTATAGAGTATGTGACTGGAAGTCAATCAAACACTTCCAGCCTGAAGAACTAATGACAGCAGTAATTGGAAGCACTAATTATGACTGGGAAAACTTTGAAAAGGTAGGTGGTTCCTAAATTGCCTCCACATCTTCCCAAAGACTTACCCCACCACCACCAAACAATCATTTTTCTCCTCCTCCTTCTCAAGAACTCACAGTATAACAAGGATACTACATCTCACATCCTACTATAGTAATGTTTTGGAAGGCTTTCCACAAGTTAACTCTGGATGAAAAGAAAAAATTCCTCTGTAAGTATGGCAATGGTATATGGCTCCGCAATTATTTATAATTATTTATCTTATACAATGGCAATCAGCTGTGGATGATAGTACTTCTTTTTAGGTCACATGTGTTAAAGGGAGAACAAGGAGAAGAACTCAGATTCTTTGCTTTCTACACCACCATTCTTTCTCTTATGCAAGCTCGTTTCCCATTATAATAAGGTAATAACAGGTATAACGCAGTTTCATCACCTTTTATACACTGACTAAGCCTAGGTCCAGTGTTTATTTTTATTTTTTAATAATTTTCTTTTATTTTGAAGAGTTAAAACAAAAGCAAGAAAAACAAAAATACAGAAACAGGGTAACATACAATAATACATATATTACAGATTTTCAAAAAAATAGCTGATTAACAATGAATGATATATTACCTGTTTTTATCATTAAATCTGTGGCTCAGATTAACAAATATAGTTATAAAAGATGGGACATATTATTGAATATTACTGCATGCTTTCAAGAAATCTTAAATTTTTGTTCTTGTTTCTTTTTCTTTCATCTCCTTTTTCTAAAAAAATTACTTTATTTTATTTTTTTTTAAATTTTATTGATAAACAGCAATGAGACAGTTTCAAATCAAATTGGAAGTACAGTTTCAAAAAATAACACACTGAATATATTCTTCTTAGTGTTTAATTGCTGTACAGATGCGGACTTGAGATCCTATTTACAAACACCATTAGAA